AATTTTTAAAGACTAAATCATAGAGAACACATAACAAAAAAAATATGACAAGTAGAAGATAGAACTACATAACAAAAAAGAATATAATTAATGATTCGTAGAAATTTGAAGAAAATTTATAAAAACTTAAAACATACAATCAAATAGAATAGAATTGAAAAAAAATAAATAATAATAATAATAATATCAATAGAAAAAGAAAGATGAAAAGAAGCTTTACCTCTTTGTAATTTCACAATGAAAGGATAAAAGAGAAGAGAAAGAACAAAAAAAAAAAAGAGATGGAAAGAGGTGAGAAGAAACTTAAAAGGGAAAAATTTTAAAATTAGGATAAAGTTAAATAAATTTATATGGTCTTTTTATTATTTTTTATTTGTATCAATAATTTAATAAAAAAATATTTTAAAAGCCCATTAAAAAATACATATATATAACATATTATATTAATAATCTAATAAAAAATTATTTTGGAGCTCATTAAAAAATATATGTAATATAAAGAAATTTTTAAAAACTTTTAGGTGGTCATGGCCCCTCATTCACAAAGAACTCTCTGTCCCAAACTACACTGAGGTTCTCAATGCATGAAGAAAATTAAAGATGAGGTCTAAAGAGATATCAATTTCATAAAAAAATAAGTAATATTTGAATCATATTTTACAAAAATTTTTTAATTGAGTCATGTATATCTATATATAATTTTGATATATAAAAAAATTATTAATTTATATACCAAATGAGAACTATATATTTTTTAAAAAATATATTATTTTACACTTTTAACTTGAAAGAACTATTGTTGTATGTTTTCTTACAATGAATGTTTAAACTTTATATTCAGGAATCCTTTTTTTTTTTTTTGTCATATTAAATGCTAGTATTATAAAACAGTCATTATGTTTATTATTTTTAATAAAAAAGCCATTAAAAAGTAATTAAATCTTGCTACATTAACTGTTGACCTTTTGAGTTTAAACAACATGCTAGAAACTGAATGCCCCAACCTTTTCAAACATTAACTTGAACCTAATTTAACTGAATTGAAGTATGAGAGTAGGGAATTGACTACCGTATATATGTCATTTTCTCATCTTTTATGGATAAAATTGACACCAACGTCTAAATATATTAATCTTTAGCTTTAAGGGATAATGCCGGGTTTCTATTGACGAAAGTAATTGACAAAAATTACCACTTCTAAAAGAAATTGGTTTTAATCAGTTGTTCTGATACCATCTTTTCGATCTTGTTAATTCTTTAATTAAGAACCCTTTGGGCGTTTCTTCCTTCTGCTCTCAACTCTTATGTAAACAGTGTAATGCCCGGTCTTTCTCTTTCCTTTTATCTTTTTTTAAATACTAAAAGTACTAAAAATAAACTGATACTGATTAGCGCTGAGACAGAACAAGCAAAACAAATGGAAGAACAATTCCAATCAAAGGACGTTTCACTGTGCCATTATGTCTCTCAGGTGTACATGTTTGTCACAGTTCGATCATGACAAACTTATTGTGTCCACGAGTTTAGCTGAAAAAACCACCATTTATGATTGGTGACTCAAAAAGCGGCACATGACAGTTATCAAAGTGATTTAGCTTGTGCTTCACATGCAGTAAGACAACAGTGCGAGCCACGAGGAGAGATGATATAGGGGTGGGGATGGGGGTGGGGGTTCAAATCCAAAGTTTACTTATATGGTCAATGTCTTGTCCACCTGGCGCCGGACTTTCATCACTCTTCTAGCGAACCCTTAGCCATGAAGCCTGGGTTTGACCCTGGCACTGGCCTGGCCGTCTATGTCATAAGCTCATTTATTTATTTTTAATTAAAAAAACCATTTAAAAGTATCGAGAATATGCCAAATAGAGTCAACATTCTAGAAATTCAAAGCCCAACCTTTCCAGTCACTCTTCCTCTGCCATCTACCTCACCTTAGGCTTAGCGGTGGAATTAGATCCGTGTTTCCCTCTTCTTTGGCCTTTTGTATCCCAAAAGAAAGCATCTACGAGTATACTAGATATCTTAGCCATTACAGAGGTAAGAGATGGACAGATCCATTGGCAAAATTAGCATTTGAAATTCGATTTTATTGTGACCTGTTACTATAGGATAAGGACCTTACCTTCCCATTTTAACTTCAAAATTTTAAGCCAAATACACATAAACAACAATTCTCATGCCTATTTATTATTGAGCATTGAAGATGGTATTTAAGGGAAGGATCGATGCTGGAAAATTGAAGATGGTATTTAAGGGAAGGATTCAATGCTCAATATTCATTTAAGTCAATAAACCAAATTAAAACAATTTTGGAATCTAATTTAAGTCCATCTAGAATAATTTAAAAAGGAAAAAATCCCTTCATACTATTCAATCCAACACCATTCATGTATTCCGTACCTCCAAGCATATACTAATTTCCTATAATAACAACCTAGTTTCAGTAGCAACTTCTAGATTTAATCTACTCAAAATATTCCTTAAATGCTTGTTAATCCGTTTAATAACACATCAACACAAAACCACGTATAAGTAGTTATAAACAATTTCTAATTATCAATAATCAAGTAGTTCTATTTTAAAAAAGAAAATTCCAACTTTTTTGCTACAGAAATTTATTATCTTTTTCTTGCACATGCGTTTCTAATGTCCCTCTTTCCATAATATCTAGCATTAGAAATATTAATATGCATGATTTGTCAACAACACTAGATTATTTAGCAAAGCTAATTAAGCATGCTCTGTACGTAGTTCCCACTCCATGTGCGGAACCACTGTATTAGAAAATTTAATCAATTGGGAACTTTTGTTTGATAAGCCAATTCACTGTATTGATCACGATGAATAACATCAGCAGCATAAGCCTCTCGGCTTAAGGCCAATACATCAGAA